AAGAGCAATGGAACTACCATATTTTCTTGCCAAATATCATCATATCATGCTAAAATTTGAAGAGGAACATAGATTTGCATAATATAATTAGCCCTGATTTAGAATTTGATAGGGTTTAGCTGTAGAGCAACAGTATATGCTCTGACAATGGGTCATGGAACCTGAGGGCCTGAAATCAGTCATCCCAGTGGTGTCCAGGGCTCATATATGCAGGTGTAGGACCATGACAGAAATCAAATCAATAACCCAAATTCTGATTAATGGACAATATGTTATTAAATAAATTGTAGATTTAAATATTCCTTCCAATAAAAGTGCTAATATTACTTCTGAATAACAGAAGTTAAGAATGTTAATTTTCCAGACTTCTACAACTAGTTAATGGTAATGTAATGATTGATTAGAGCTTGGATTTTTGTCCCCAGCGCTCTTCTTCTACACATGGCCTTTAAGGCCAAACTTCAAAACCTGGCGAGTTCTAGCTGTTCCAGAGTTCTTTTGATATACACTCTTACATTCCAACCTCACCATTCCAGTCAATATTTCTTCTTTCATGATCTGGAAAGGGTAGGCATTTTCTGAAGCAGAGGTTGCCTCACTGGAATAGTTAAATATATGTACTCAAATTAGGAAACCCTTTTTGATGAAGTACCAAGAAATTTAGACTTTTTCTTAAAAAAAAAAAAATATCTGTTCCAACTTCACAAATTGAGTGACTTCATTTGATTTTTTTCTAAATGCTGATTTTTTTCCCTAAATGCTGACATTCACTTTAATGCCACTCAGCTATGATTCCTTAAAGATTCTCTACAGAGGAGATCACAGACAAATAGACATTAATCTGGAAATAAACGTGAAATCAGACAACTAGGTGAACTTTACAATCATCTTTTGCCATTAGAGATAAGGTATTTTGGGAAATATTGAGACTTAAACATGAATTTATGATTTTTATTATACTCAAGTTCATAAAATATGTCTATTTGGTTTAAGACAATTCCAACATTGTGTGATTTCTTTTTTCAATCACTTAAGCAAGGTTGAAAAATAAAGATGGTTATCCATAACTTCTAGTTATAAGCAATTCAAAAAGTGTCTTGAGTATCTTGCATTCTTAGTCAAAGACTGTCTGACAAATTCTCTTTTGAAGTTAATGAATCTCATATCTTATCCACAGTATTCTAAACTAAGATTAGTATCAAAAAAGAAATAATTTTTAGCTCATAATAGTTATTGAATAAAAAAATAAGTCAGATATTAATTTTACAATGATTCATCTCTACCACTGCTCTTCTATTCTGTGTCCCACTGGTTATTGAAATTGTCTCTTAACAAGGCTTTTAACCATTTGCCCAGCATCCCCCTCCCTCCTCCTACGCAGAAGCCTAAGCTTCAGAATATCTGCTTCAAAGTAACTGCTCTAAAAGAGTGTTTCTCAAATGTTAGGTTGCATCAGAGTCACCTGGAGGATTTTGAAAAACAGATTTTTGAGCTCCTCTCCCAGAGTTTCTGACTTAGTAAATTTAAGTGGAAACTGAGTATTTTCATTTTTAACAACTTTCCAGGGCATACTAATTGGACTGAGTCCTGAAACATACATTCAGAATTACTAGTCTAAACCATAAAACTGGTCATGTCATCACCCTACAAAAAAATCTTTTTGTGTCTCCTCATGCTACTACTGAGCTAACCTTGAGATCCTGGCAAGGGTTAACTAACAATGAAGTCGAAATTTATATACTTGTGAAATAACATATTTTTGCCTAAGTGTCTTGGTGTAACACAGTGTAACATGGCGTTCCTGTTTCCAGTCACCACCAGATATGCAGACTCACACAGATGACACACATGAGAGCAAAATTTGTATCAGAAACAGGACCAGCCAAGTCAAACTGCACGTCTGCAAAAAATCCCCTGCTGCTTCCCTCAACTCAACTTCCACTTCCCTTTAACCATGTATAATTAGCTGGGTTGGCAAGACCTATAAAGATGGGCTTTGGGATAGGAATCCCCTCTTCTCAAGTCACTGGCACTTGAATAAACCACTATACTTCTCACCAGCACCTTGGTTCACAAGTTTGGCTGTTGTTGCATCAGGCAGCCAAATGTGGGTTCAAGTTCAGCATTCACTCATCCCTCATAATTTAAGTTCCTTAACATGGCTCACATAACCCATCATCACCTGGGTATTCACTCACTCTTGCATTATCTCACACTATCCCCTGCCTTAAGTGGTGTGTTGATAAAGATTTAAAATATGGCTATTCATGGTGCCCTGCCAACACAGAGACATGTATGTGTGTGTATGTGTGTGTGTGTGTGTGTGCATGTGCATATAAACAAACATAGGCTTATTTTACTGATATAAGCAATGTGTAAATAATTTACCAAAAAATGTATAATAATCTTTATTGTAAATTCCATGTAACCAATTAGTTCTTATAGAGTTATTTTATTGAATTTTCACTGATCTTTTTTTATCTGTAATCACATACAGTATTTGTTACATTCCTTTTTATTTCTTAATTTCTTGACAACCCTTTAAAGTTTTTGTTTGTTTGTTTGTTTGTTTGTTTTTTAACACACAGTCTGGAGATAACAGGCTTTAAGCCAGACTTGGCATACAGGCTGTAGCTTGTCTACATTATTTATACTATTTGTCAATATCCTAGGTGAAAATATTCCCAACATGGTGGATTTCAAGCTGTCAAAGGAATGTTACTGGACATGGAATTGGGAAGAGATGCACTGTAACAGCCCAATAGAGTGAATATCCACCAGACAGTTACTGCAGAAGTAAGAAATCTGAGCACATATAAATAGACTAGAGGCCCAGTGCACGGAATTTGGGCACTGGGGGGTTCCCTCAGCCTGGCCTGTGCCCTCTCCCAGTACAGGAGCCCTTCGGGGATATCCAACTCTTAGCTTAGAAATGCTCCTTGCAGGGAGCGGGCCTAACCCAGCATTCGGACATCCTTAGCACTGCTGCGGAGGTGAGAGAGGCTCCCGCTAGTGCCACTATGCTCGCCAGCCATGCACTCAGCTTCCGACTGAGCAGCACTCTCCCTGTGGGAGTGCACTGACCACCAGGGGGCAGCTCCTGCATTGAGCATCTGCCCCCTGGTGGTCAGTACGCATCATAGTGACTGGTTGTTCTGATGTTCAGTTGATTTGCATATTAGCCTTGTATTATTTAGGATGGAGTGGTGGCTATATAGATAGCTGTAATATCTTACCTAATAATATACAAACATGCAAATTGACCGTACTTTCGCTATGCCTTAAGCCATGCTTATAGAAGGTAAATAAACCCCAGATACCTGCTAATAGGAAAGGCTGGGAGCTTCAGTCGCCAGGGGGCTTGACCAGTCTGAAAACTGCCATCAGCCCCTCACTCAGGCTGGCCAGGCATCCCAGTGGGGACCCCCACCCTGAAGGGAGTTTGGGCAGCCTGCAAACAGCCATCATCCCCTCACCCAGGTTGGCCAGGCACCCCAGCGGGACCCCAACCCTGATCCAGGACACCCTTCAGGGCAAACCAGCTGGCCCCCACCCGTGCACCAGGCCTCTATCCTATATAATAAAAGACTAATATGCAAATTGACCAAACAGCGGAACAAACAGTCACTATGACATGCACTGACCACCAGGGGGTAGACGCTCAATGCAGGAGCTACCCCCTGGTAGTTAGTGAGCTCTGGGAGCCTCTCCTGTCTCCGGGGCAGTCGGGCATTCCCCAAGGGCTCCAAGCCTGTGAGAGGGTACAGGCTGGGCTGAGGGACCCCTCCCCCTCCACCAGCGAGTGCACGGATTTTGTGCACTGGGCCTCTAGTAGTAAATAATTAAAAATTAATAAATGTATGACCTTCTAAATACTCTATTTAATTCTAAGTTTATATAACTTAGCTTACAACATTCATTAAAGTCTACCAGTTGGTCTACATGAGGCAGTAGCAGTGGGCTACAACACAACTGCCTGTCTATTGTTTAAAACCCCATCGACAATGGACGATGACAGTTATGCCCTGTGCTCTGCAGTGGGTCTCTGACCTGGTCCACCTTTCTGAGCTTGCTCATCAGGCCAACCCCATATACATTTGAGGTTTAGCCGAGTCTCCTGCTGGGACCCTGCCTCTACCTCTCTAGTTTGAGCTAAGTGGCCTCTTCCCAGAATTGCCCATAGTGCCCAGTGCTGCTCTCCACCATAGTTTTCACCTCTTTGCTCTGCATCACTTCTTTCAGGTATGCTTCTGCTTAGTAGGCTGTAAGTTTCTGCAGCTCAGGGACTCTGCCTCTGTAATCTTTAATTTTATTACCGAGAGAGACCCTGGAATACAGTAGGGGCAAAGCACATATTTTTGAACTGAACTACTAGCAAAAAGGATTATATTTTGACTTTCACTTTGCAGAATTTTTCACAGCCTTCTTTGTTTTGTAGCATTGGTGTGTCATTGTGCTTCTATAAGGAAGAAACAACTGTTGATGTGTGTTAGTCAAAAGTTTGCTTACAAATTACAGTTAAAGACAAGTGCCTACAGTGCATATTTTAGATTACTTTGGGTATTATTTATCATGCCTATTTTATTGAGGTATAATTGACATGTAACATTATGTTAGTATAATTCTTATATCTTCCATTACCCCAGCTAATTGAATTTCATTTTTTTTAAAGAATGACTTAATTAACCAGGAGACTAAATAGTGATACAGGGTGCTAGAAGTAGGAAAAAAAAGAAATCAAATACAAATGAGTCTTGCTGATTTAAAATTTCCACACAATTAGCTGATGCCTGTGGGTTACCAGCATTATTTCCTGGGCATTTTCCCCAGCTCACTGCTCAGAATCTCTCCAAGGACTCCCCCACTGCAGGCTGCCTGGGCTTTGATGGAGGGGAAGATAAGCCCCAGCGTGAGCTTTTCCTTCATTGCTCTTCTCTTTACTGATTTTCACACTGATCCTAAGCAAGGCACCTGGGGATCTGTAGGGAGTATCAACCCACCTCATAGTCGATGTCTAAGGCATCGGCCTCTCCCTTGGTCCGGAAATGCTGCGTGTACTTGTCCACGGTGAAGTTCACGTGCTTGCCCACCCGCTCAATGAGGACCGAGTGCCAGTGCTGGTCATCCAGGAGGCTCCCCAGGGTGGCTGATGGCGGGCTGCTGCTGAGCCGGGTTTTGCTGTCATCTGGAAAGAGGAGAGGAAGAGAGGAGCCTGAGACTAAAGTGTTCTGCAAGCAAAGCTAGCTCGCTCTAATGGCAAAGGTAGTTCTATCTCCACGGCCCGGAACGCTGCTGGGCTTGAGAAGGAATTACAGGCTTTTCCCACAAGTGCCAGGAACAAATTATAGGTCAATTGACACGCCTATCCCCTTCTAGACATGAAATGACATGTTTTCAGGACATGAACAATTAAATAATAAAGGAACTCTATCCTAATGGATCTCTATCTAAAATAGTGGTTATCCTATTTAGAAATAGTATTCATTCTTCATGTTTGAATGGGTGTTGAATAGAGAAAGTGGACCTGGAATTGTGCTTCAGCAGAGACTGAACTGGATAATTCGCAGTGAGTTAGGTAAGTCTGTGGGCAAAGCAAAAGGGGAGGAAATAGGCATTTTAGCTGCCACTTTAAGTGCCTACTATATGAGTGGCACTTAACCAGTTAACTGCCATGTGTCCAAAATGGAAACCATCCCCACACACCATGATATTTTGAACGTATTTGCATCTCTAGACTCTTGTGGCTTACAAAGGGTAAAGTAGGAATTTGACCACCTCCATTTTTCATCTGCTAAGGCAAAAGTATTATCTGTATTTCACAAATAAGCAATCTAAGTCTCAGTGAGCGTAAGCACACATGCCCCAGAGGTGTGTCCAGGGATGCCATCCAGGTCCAGTGGCCTTTCCACTGTACCGTGCCATGGGTCATATGTGTTGATTTAGCCCAAGTTGAGCTTGAAAGACACCCCTTGAGAGAATGTGCCAGACTTAGGGGAAGAGGCATGCTTTTTTCTTTCTTTTTTAAACAATGGTTTTTAATGGGACCAGAGATATGGTTCCAATTACATAAGATGACATTAAAAATCCCGTGGTGGTTAAGAGTTGGAACATTACAAAATAACCAGGTCACACTGGGTGCAGAAGAAAAGCCGTCCCAGGACCTCAGGGGGCAGGCTCACAGGGCCGCTCCCTGCATCCTGTCTGTGCTCACCCTGGAGCCCATTCGCCAGGGCCAAGGCCACCTTCTGTACATTTTTAATCAAGTCAGCCTGGTTCTCCCTCCTCCCCAACCCTCTTCAATTTTAAGGAAGTCCCTGCTTATACCCTATTGTCAAAAAGGTCAGATTTTTCATCCACAGAATGGTTCAGACATAGCAAAATGAACACATAAATGCAACTCATTATTACTTATATACATACTACCAGGGTTTTTTAAAATAATTAATATATTTGGTCCCCTTAGTAACTGAAAGCTGAATGCCTCCTTCCTCTCCCTTCAGTGTGTTTTACCAGAGCAGCTGTAACAGCTTGCTCAGTGTGGCATTCCAGGACAGGAAGCGGCATTATCCTGGAGGCATTCACTCCACCTCCGTAAAGGCCTACGTCACCACTTTCTGTCGGGGTGAGACAGCAAACCTACTGCAATTGAAAATGAGAGTCAGTGAATTCATGGTTGATTTTATTTCATCGATTTATTTACTGTTTTTTTCACAGATTTTGAGTTCTCACAATTTGTCAAATCATGCTAATAAACTCATAGATATTTGTCTTATTTTTCTCACTCATTTCCTTCCTTCCTTCCTTCCTTCCTTCCTTCCTTCCCTCCTCCCTTTCTTCTTCTCTGTAAAGATTCTCTTCTCTTTTCTCTCTCTCTCTCTCTCTCTCTCTCTCTCTCTCTCTCACTCTTTCTCTTCTCTCCAAAATCAATGGAAACCACCATTGTTGTAAAAAGAAATGTCATTAAACCCATTACACAGATGAGAAAACAG